AGCCACTTAAATAGCCAGGATTAACTAGTCTGATTTAGGCCTACTTCAGTCTTGATTTAAGCCCTGTCTCCGAAACCGGCCCATAATGTAATGAATAGATACGTTAGTCTGAGTATTATGACTGATGTCTCATTTATAATGGGTATCCTTTTGTTTGTTCTTTTGCTAATTACCTACTGCAGTGGTCCCCAACCTTCTTTACCTCACGGACCGTTTTCATGTCAGACAATATTTCGCGGACCGGTCGAGAAGGTCCGACGGGGGGGGTGTAGTAGTCGCGCGCTCTGTGTTCGCTGGTGGGCAAAACTGCCGTGCACGGTACAAGGACAATTGTAATCCGCGGCCCGGTGGTTGGGGACCATTGACCTATTGTACAAGTAGGCAAAAGCACATACAAGTCCATGTCACATTCTGCTTTTATTCTGAGTGGCAGACCTTTCCACAGGGACCTCGTCCAGTTGTTGGAAATGATCGGCACCGGGGAGACCCTGTGTCGAGCGCCGATAATCTGCAGCTTCAAGAGATGAACTGCAATGTCTATGTAGAGATGACAGCTGTGATGTCTGCAGGATACTTTTATTACAATGAGTATTTTATTATGAAAGAGTCAATGCTGATGGGCCTGATTACGTCATGGGCTTAATGTCAAAGCCCTCTTTGGATGGTCATTATGGTGCTCTGCATTGAATATACTTTGTCAGATTGGCATCTGCCTGATGTTCTCCTCTCATGGCAGTAATGGTGAATGTAATGTCACAACTTTGCTTTCTCAGAAAATGAATACCCTAGTGTCAGCATTGTGTCCATAAGGCTGTGTAGCGTGGCGCCGTCGGTTCAGTTTCCCTCATGGAGTAGTCAGCTGAGAGGAGAAAGTGACACGGTGTTAAACGATACTTGTGACACTTAGTTGTAGCTCCCTTTGCCAAGAAAGTAAGAATCCCGTCGACATTTTAAGGTTTCAGAACATGGAGGATTTCTATGACATGGGGCCATCCTGTGACTTGAGGCTTAAACCAATGCTTTAGGTCAGCACCCCCTGTACATGAAGGCTGTCTGCAAAGAGGTTTTAGCTTTGACTTTGACTGATAATCGTGGCCACACATAGTGTGAATTATATTATGCTTGTTATTCCAGCAGCGACGGTGTGTCACACAGGAAACAAATTTCCAGTGTGTGTGAGTCCTTCATTTTCTCATTTAACACCTGCTTCGTCTCTTTTGTGCTCAGCTTAGCTTGTCCTGGTCTGATCCCTGTACTGGGAGTCTGTATGTACCTTTCAATAAACGTCCATGAAGTCCTTCAATGACCGATTATGTTATTGTTTACGGAGCACTGCAACGCGGCAATGTTTCTGACATTTAAGAGCTGAGGATTCCTTCCACAGCTCAAGATGTACGTACACTACTGTGCATGTGGACATGGTATTTCAGGCCCTTACATACAACGTATATACTCCAGTGCTTGTCCTATGGAAATTGTCAAGCAGCGGGAAGCGCAAAGGACAGTCCTCGTCCAGTGTGTTGGATTACCTTACATTACAACTTCTTTCTTGCTTCAGTACAATTTGCTACACCAAGTGTTATTCTTATAATTGAGCTGATTTAGTTAAAACTAAAGGCCCAGGGCAAAGGGCTGCCTGAAGATTTCAGTGTGCCTGTTGTTAAAGGAGTGTCATTCCTTTTAAGGTCTGAACAGCTGTGAAGTTGAGCAGTGAGTTTGTTTTGTGTGCCTTGGATTCACTGGGAAAGGCATCCCAATACCCCTAAAGGGACTTTTAAATAGGGATTCTCCAATCCAACTGTTTCCCCTCGCATTGGCCTTATTTTTTAATAAACTCTGACTTTTTTTAATGCATAAGGAAACCTAGCTTGACGTTACCATTGCTCCTCTAACTTCATTAAAATAAAATGTAACAAATGAATACATAGATATAAATGTACTGAATTCCTATTTATAGTTCAATTTGTGAATTTCACACCACCAACTTGCTTTAGGTTACATTAAACTATGTGGGCATGCGTCGGTGGAGAAAAAGGTGAGGGTAGTTTTAAACAGATTAATGTGTTTTGGATGTAAAAAATGTCAAACATTCTGTTTTAGTTTTCCGTTGGACACAAATTATCATCCAAGCTTTTATTAAGACAGTCTTTGTTTGATCGTTCGTCTTTTGAGGTGTGTAAAGGTACACTATTTACACCGAAATAAAATAACTGAACGAGTTGGAGTTCAAATGACATTTCCAAAGGAGTCGAACATTCACATCACATCTTAAACACTGTAGCTGGACAGATGTGCAAGGACTGTGTGTCACGTTCAGGTTTGGGGTTATTTTGAATAGATCAAGATCAGTCACTTATCAGCTCTGCCTCAGCGTCAAGCCACCAGTACATTCCCATTTGGAGCAAATACTCCTTCTGTCCTGGTAATATGCTCAGCCTTCCCTATTGTTTCCCTTAATCGAGCCAGAGACGCGGCTATAAATCAGTGTGCAGGCTCCTGCGCCTTCCCCTGCTATGAGTCAGACTCGGCTCTCCGCTGGGAAAGTTGGCCAGCTTTGTGTTTCGGATATAAATGTTACCTAGTTGCGGATTTGCAAAGCGCCATGAACAGCACTGGTTATACAATATGCATGTGGCTGCGGTGAATCCATCTATCATCATATAGTTTTCACTGGCAGGGCTAGTGTGGCTTATTCTTCCATAGCTTTATTTAATATAGCGTTCACGCCGCTATGAGTACAATATGAAAGTAAAAGTCAAAGCCGTGCAGGAAGGATGTTGGCGTTGTACATCACCTGTCCCAGGGAACAGCAGTTTCTGGTGCTTTGTTTGAACGCGCAGTGCAGTTAAACATGGAGTACAGGTCATGTGACGAATGCAAACCTCACACTAAATCATCTTGCACTTCTACATGGCAGGGCATTTGTTTTATTGCCGTGTGAATTGGTCCCAAGAAGAGACTCCAACCTGTGATCTGAATGAGTAAATCTAGGACAGCCAGGAGTCCGTATTTGTAGTTTCGGACTCCTTCCATCCAACCCGTGCTACTTTCTGGGTCACAGGAGTGTTATTGTGCCATATGTTCTTACAAAACCTTTTGTGGCGGACAACATGAACACGTGAATAGAAACAAGTGCTCTTTTGTTTTTTTCCAGGATGGCATGGCTCTTTGAGCGGATTTTGGATCATCACTTCCTCTTCTCCATGTTTTTCTCTTTGCCTCCACTTGCTGTCTGTATTTGGCTGACGTCTCCCACGCACGGCCTTCCCCCTCCCCCCCTTGGTTTCTTGGCCCTCGAGCATGTTTCGCTCAGGGATTCTCTCTCAGTTCACTTCTTATTTAGGTTAGACACACTGAAGTGCTTCCTCCTTTGCTCAGTGACGGGAATTAAAGGCCCAGATTCTGTCTCTCCTGCCCGACCCAAGCGGTACTTTTTGGCTTGGCATTGGATCATTAACATAGGGTATCATTGTCAAAAGCCATACCAATGCCACGGTTCTTTTCTATGCCTCACAGATGCATTATAAATGTGATGAAGAATGAGGGAGATTTATTCCCCCCCAAAAAACTAGCTGGGACGGTTGTGTTTGAGGTTTTAGGTGATAATCTGTTGTTGTGTTGCCTCTTTTCGTTGGCACTGTTTTTGAAAGATACCGGCTGGCTCACGTGAATTGACTCTCCTGTCTCCCGTTCCCGCGCCGAAGCTGAAGATTGCTGCTTTCAAAATGTCAAAGGAAGCCGACAAGATGACAGAGTCTCATTTTATTCATTAAGAACATTGCAAGGATGCTGCTGGTCTGGTTTTTATTTCATTGTTGGTTCTCTTGCTCGGAAATGTTACCTTCCAGTTGACCAACCTGTTACCAGGGAAAGTAATGGAAGTGACTGCATTTGTTCATCATCATATTTTAGCCCTCTGAATAGGAATCAAATCGTGAGGTACTGATGAACTGATTTGATTTAGGTGGTCGAAGGTCAAGGTCACACTGACCACGAGTCCGCCCCGTTATCGAGATCTCTCAGGAACACCTTGAGAACATTCCTGCACGTTCAGGTCACTGTAATCGTGCGTTCACACCGAACGCGTTTCATGCCACAGGATTACATACAAACTGCACGGACGCGATGAGACTGGAGCGACGCAGGTCTGCGATAGAGAGGCGTGTTTCTCGACCTTGCCACAAACTCAACATGATTTCAGCCTAAATTGCGACAAACACAGCCAATATGTCAACTTTGGCGTCCAAATAGTGTGTCCTGGTGGTTGGGGACGTGATGTGTCTGGCTTTGATTTTTTGATTGGTGATTTGCCAGCTGTTTGAGAATGCATTGTTCTTTGCAAGGGCAGAATTATGCTTTTAAGGGAAAGCGTTAGTAACACCAGAATAGGGTGTGAACAATCTGTCAGTCAAGTGAAACCAATGCAAATTCTGATCAAAATAAAAAGTGGATTGGAAATATATTTTGTTGATTCCTTCAGTCACAACTAAGTAGCGTATATTTCTTTATTGTGGTAAAGCAATAGCAACTAGCAAATAGCATTAGTCCTCCACGAATGAGAGTGTTTAAGTGTCTCTGTGTTTGTTTGAGGTCTAACCACCTCAGTAATGTCTGTTGACTCAGTAAACTTGTTATGATGAAAAAGGACAGCGAGTGCCATCAGTTCCTTTAAATGAGCTTTTATTATCGGATTGGATGATGTCTCTGACGTTAGAGTAGTTCTTAAGCCACATATCGACTCTGGCTGCAGACTGCACGGCTCTGTGACCGACTCGGAGGGCTGTGTGTGTTCAGGTGGCAGACAGACTGTGCATTTGGCCCGGGGACGCGTCGGCGGCTCCCTCTGGAGCGAGGTGGGGCTCCACCCTCCTCGACACAGTGGTGTGATCGGGAGGAGGAGGCTCATGGGAAGGACCGACAACCCGGGAGCGAGGCAGTTTTGTCTGTCTATGCTGCGCGAGTTAAAGTGAAACCTTACTCTTACTTTCGTATCTCCCAAGGTGAGACCGGCTGCTCCAACAAAGGCTCCTGGATGCGGTGTCTCCTGCGGCTCCGATGAAAGGTAAGCTGAGCCCCCGCCTGCGAGGCCACTCTTTAATGACTTAATAATGCATACACTTAGTTCAATTGGCCGGCTATCTCTTCCAGCTTCAGTTAACGACATGGTTTGCATGTGCCATTCACATGTTACAGTCCAACGTAGCGGTTTCCTTTTCTGAACCTGTTGTCTCGGAGGCGGCATTGTACTTTTACAAGTTGACAAAAATGCATTTCTACCCAGCGTTTTAGCAGGGATACGTTGCTTTTAAAGTGGAAGAAATCGGTAATGTTTGTTAAGCAGATGATCATGCCAGTTTGTATTATATATTACGTCTACTTGCTTTTCTGCAGCTTTTTGATCTTAATGTCGGTCCGCGCTCAAAAGCTTCCACGTGTGCCGTTTTTGTGACACCGTGCGTTGTCACGCGAGCAAATGTGTGTCAGTGTTGCAAAGTTGGAGCTCTGTGCACCTTTGAAAGAGAAGAAACGGTTGCAGAAATGAGATCAGCAGTTTACAGGGTGTGTCTGATTCATTTGGTTGGGAAGGAGTAAATATTTGGGGTTGCACAAGAACAGTTGGCTACAGAAGGACACTTCAGATCCTCAAGCCCTTGAACAGGCAGTTTGCCGGGAGCACATGTTGATCTTTCATACAGTGGAAGAGGAAGTGTAATGACTAGTTACGATTCTTTCAACAACAAAAAAAATTCAGTCTCTGTATTTTGGTCTCTCTGCTAAAAATAAGTGCACGAGTGTCTTCAAGTTGTGTACCAAGACCTTGTCATCTCTTCTGCACATCTGTCCATTGGGCGAGGAGACTGAAACCAGGCGTTTGTTTTACACTCACTCGAATGAATTTGTCCTTCTTACTGTTAAAGTTTTCTGTCGCGGTGAAATCACACCGATTTAAAAGTAACACATTAGTGTTCTCTGCTTTGGGTATCCTGGAGCTGTGTTCACTCTGCTGTTCCGTCCAGCCTTATTCCGGCAAGAGACTGTGCTGTGGTAGCCGTGAAAAAACTCCCACTTGCCCACTCGGATCAGTCAGGGAGCCTTTGGGTTCGGCCTTGCCCAAGCTGTTTATTTTGGCATGTGTCCGCAGCGGGGGGGGGCGCATGCGGGTTTAACAGAAAATTACCCATTAACCAGGCAAAATAACTCAACCCGTACCCAGCAGCCCCCGCCCAGGCTACTATTGTGTCTCTTTCTCCGTCTGCCTTTCAGAGTGACGCGTTTAGACTACGTGATGTCCAGATAAATGTTACAAATGCTCTCTAGTTAATGTTTCTGCATACTCGCATAATTCCCTTATCTGGTCTGGGTTGCATTAATAAGGCTTAGTGCACATGATGTAGTGTCCATTTACTGACTGGGTGAAGAATTTCAAATGTGGGTCAACAGATGGAGGGTGTGTTTAATTCTCTGTATGTTTCCAATCACTTCCGCAGTGAATCACTGCCTTTTTCTTCAGTTAAGCCACACCGACAGTACTGTGGTCACAATTGTGTTTACACAGGTGGAAAGCGCAGAAAGCAGAACTCTGTCATGTTCCATGCATGTTTCAATGTTCAATGCATCCACTGTCTCACTGTCCACTGTCTCACCTTTTAACTTATTTTAAACCTCGTGGTTCAAAGTCATGAATGCTGATTTGAAAGTTGTTGTTTATAGCAGAACTGCTCTTTTTTCCATATTATTATTATATTATCATATGTTGTTATTTCCTAAGGCTTCCAAATGCTTATCATTTTAATTAACACAATGCTTGCCGAGACAGGAATAGGATAGGATTATGATATGGGGTGTAACGATTCATTTTAACAACGATTCGATTCGAATCGCGATTCACGGTTGCCGATTCGATTCATGGACGATCTGGGTTAATTTAGAACGATTCGATTCGATTTGATGACAGTGACTTGAAATCGATTCAGTAACTTTACTGGACAGTGCAGGCAAAGTTTCCGAGATCCCTGTTGTTTCTTGTAAGGAAATCAGGTTTAAATTAATTATGGATATTATGTATTAACCTTTTATTTGAATCAAGTGCCATTTTCAATGTAAACATTACACAATAATTACACAATGTTTGGATCAATTCACAGAACCCCGGATTTTCAACCACATTGTAGGGTCGCATGTCTTTACAGATAAACTTGGTAATTGTTACTGTGATGTTGAGTTTGGTGCTGACGAGGCCTGAGGAGTCTGCAGAGCTGGAGTTACCTGCTGCTGCTGCTGCAGCGGTAACGCTGCTAGAGGCGCCTGACTGTCGGCGTTGTTTAATCCCACGGCGCCTTAGTAGATCCGGGGCCTGTTTCAGAAAGGAGGTTAAGTGAAAACTCTGAGTATGTTAACCCTGAAATGAGGGAAACTCTGAGTTTTCTGTTTCAGAATGGGAGGTATGTTAAACCTGAGAAAGCAGAGTAAGTCAAGCCTGTTTCAGAAAGAGAGGTAACTTATACTCAGAGTCAGTTACCATGGCAACTTACTCTGTGAACCTAACCTGGTCGGGAACAGGTTTTCTTCGGGAAACCCAGAGTTTATTTCGTCTCCTCCCCTTTTTTAAAGAGGAAGTGGTATTTAATCACCTCATTCATTCTTTCGGTATTCATTCATTGCGCACATTTCAGTCACGCAGAGCGCATCAAATCGACACTGGATGCTATTTAGTTATTTATATGTCAAATGTTTGTAAAGTCAGGTAGTCTACAACCATGATATGTTCAAGCCTTACCTGATTGAATTATGTTTTTATATTTCATTTTCAGCTGCTGCCATGTTCTTTTAATGCCTGCAGGATTGCACCTACATGAAAATTAAAATTAGGTTGAATAACACACTGTTCTTCCAGTTTCACTTCTGATATTATAACAGTTGGGCAAGTCACTTATATTACTAACTACAACTGGCTTCTTCAACAGTGTAATTAGATTAATGTAATAATGACTATCTCTAGAAAGTATTGGTCTACTTATTACTAATTACTTTCTAAATCCCATATCAACCTTAACCACTTGAACAATACAAGGAGAGACAAGAAACTGCACTTTTAATGCTTTCAAATAAACATTATACAATTGCATGAATTATTCTTGAAAAAATATATCTTTTAAAATTTGATGTTAAATCCACTATTGTTTTATACAGAATTTCTTTATAGTTTATGCAGCATTTAATGCAATTACATCAGATTTTACTTTAAATTACGGAATTAAATTACAGTTTTTAGATTACATAGAAATTAATTAAAAACAACACTGTATAACAGTAATTCAAATGTAAACTTACGCATTGACTCGAGCAGCTATTTTCTCCCAAGCTAACTCTCTGTCCTTCGCCGCTGCAGCCGTGTTGCTTTTTTTTTTAAATATATGTTCGTACTCTCCATATGCTTGCATAAGCACATCCAGTTCTGCTGGTGAAAAATATGAAGACCTCTTTTTGTCTGGCGCTGTTGCCATGGTGACTCGTAATATCTGCGCTCCATTGATAATGGCTTTTTATAGTTGTGGTGCACGCGCTTAACTCAGAGTAGGTCAACTCAGAGTTGATTGAACTAACTCATTTCAGCTGTTCTGTAACCGAAAACTCAGAGTTTCCTATCTCAGGGTAAGTCAACTCAGAGTTCAAGTTTTAACTCAGAGTTGGTTGAACCTCCTTATTGAAACAGGCCCCCGGAAAGATTCGTCGTGTTTCCGTGTTTTTTATTTGTCTTCTACATATTCTACAAACAGCGACCGACTTATTTAGAACACCTCTGTGTTTGCAAAAGCCAAAATGTTTCCACACGCTGGATCGATACGTTGGTTTGTAAATGTATTGCTCGCAGTCGTCTCCTCCACCCTGTGTGTTGTTGTTGTTCCGAGTTTCGCGCGGCTGCCGCTGCGTACTGATGACGTCACAGACAGGCAGACTGAATCGAGTAACGTTTAACGTGTCTAAAGTGCTAAAAAACTAACAAACAAACACACATCCATACAGTTTTTGTGCTTAAATTCAATGTGCAGTTTCCAAGTATCGATACAATCGATTATGTACAATTTCAATCGATTTTTAATCGATATATGTCGTCCGAAATGCCGATTTGCGGAGCACAGATTGATTCAGTTGGATCGCAGGAATATAAATCGATTAATCGATTCTCTCAATGATTCGTTACACCCCTAATTATGATGTATACTGCATGGTTCATACCTTAAATATATAGATATCGTCACTTAATGTTAGCCTGGAGCAGGTTCATGATGGACTAGTCATCCATTCAGGGTATAGTCTTTGATCATTAATCTAAAGGACAAGTTGATCCAAAATGGTTGTCAGGCAGAACAGAATTAAGAGGAGTGAACAAATTTGACGGCCCCCTTGATTTTATAATCCCCTTGATTCTGTCTAGGTTTTTCAAAGACATTTAGTTTAGTTTAACTTACAACCACAAGTGAAAGTCTTTGTTTCTTTAAGGCTTAACTTTCAAAAGACAAGCCAGTAAGCCAATGGATGGACGATTCGTAAAATGTATAAGTGACATCTTTGGGAGAACTATTACCTTTTGTCAAGATCCGTCTAACTTTCTATAAGCTTCATATACAGTTAAGCACTCTTATGGTATGATACATACTGAGGCATCTGTCAGTGTTGGATTGATACAATGGCTCAATTCCGCCAGTATTCAGCAAACATGTTATAATGGGATTTTTGTCCATGTGTTGCAACCCGCCCAAGGCTTTGTGTTTTATCAGTGTAATAAATCAGACACTGAGGGCACAGCGGTGTTACATTTATGTTTCCAACCCCAAAAAAACAATTTGCACTGGTTAAAGGGGACCTGGCTGAAAAAATATTTCACAGCGGGCACATCACTGAAAAAGCTTGAGAACCGCTGGTCTAATCAGGCGGTTGATTAGAGAAAGCGCACTGGGGTTTTGGGGTTAAAATAGCTCACGAGCTGGCTTGTGACGCGACTATCAAGTGACTGCTTGGATAAAGGGCAGGACTTGCACTAGTAGCAGATTGACCCAAGTC